GGGGGGGGGGGGGGGGGGGGCACAAGGGTAGAAAGTGGCTGGCTGCTGCTCCTCTTACCCCTTTCTCTCTGTTGCAGAGGCTCTCAAAATAAACAGAACATAATTATTTTAGGTACAATCAGTTGGCACTCCAGCAATTAATAAATGACAAATCCAAATGTCTGTGAGAGGAAAAGCTATTACTGCACAATCAATTCAATAAATTCCTCAGATTTAATGGCAATCCAGAATGCTCAGTCACTCACCTAAAAAGCAAGGGCTCTCAACCTCAAGGAGTTTCCTTGCAGCATCCCAACCCAAGGGGAGTGTCCTTGACCGCAGCCGTGCTGCTCCAGAGGGGACTGGCTCAAAGTGCTCCCCCAGGGGACTCCATTTATACCCTACTGCATCTGCTCTGAGGTCAATATCACCAGCTCCCATTGGCCAAGGCTCCCACTTACTGTAAAAAACTGAGAACAAGGATGCAAAAAAAGAATGAGCAGCCACTATGTCTGAGCAGCCAGGAGGCCCCATCTTTGTTGGGGTGGGTGCGCCTGCCACGCTTGCTTTGAGTTTGCATTGAACTTGCACTGAAGTGGACTTCACTGGTTTTCACATATGCCCAACTAGTTCTCTTCTGTACATGTGGGACAGTATGTAATATTTCTAGATGGTAACAACCTATTAATGCATCCCACTATCTACTTTAATAATTGTGTCCAAGGATTCAGCTAAAGGAAAAAAATGATTTAGCACTTTCATTTGTGCTGTGAATATGATCCATCTTTCCTCTCTGTCCAGGGCTTTTATTGCAATCATCAGTTCACACAGACTATTTGCAAATTTCAAATGATGATATTTTGTGATTCTTTCTTTGCTTTGTCTTGATGTATATTTAGGCAGGAAACATATGTCATCAACTGTGAATACAGCTTTTACAAATAGATGACTGTTTTACTGTGCGCTGTGGTGCAGAGATATCTTAAAGTTACAGATGTTTTATGGTTTGTAGGTCCTACTTCTTCAAAGTTGGTGCTTTGTGAAAGCACAGAGAATTAACCTTTACCCATATCTCTTCCTTTCTTTCTGGCTGTAGTGTAAACTGGTTGTAATCTTTATATAAAATGCCTTGATGTGGGAATTTCATTTTTTATGTATATCAAAAAATCAAAGCAAGACTTCCATTCACCTCTTCCTCTCCCTTCCACTTCCCTCTTTTTTAAACACAATTGATGTGTTAGACTTCTGTTATGGAAAAATTAAGGTGATCAGCTGAAACATCATTACATCAGATGAAGATCTTACTGTTTCTGGAGTGTTTGTTTTCACTTTAACACAGATGTGACATGTTACATTTCTTCACATGGAAATTTCTTCTTCACATCAATAAGCCTGAATCACCATTGCATGTGTCCAGTGGTGACATGGTAGATTGCTACAAGGGACATGTTTCTCATTCCAGTCGAGTCAATGAAAGTCAAAACCAGACACTGCATGTTAACTACCACTGGGTTTGTTTGTTTGTTTCCATTCAGAGATAGCTTATTTAGAATTAGTGGTCTTTTCTGAAAACATTACTTGCCATGCTGCCTAGCTTCACCTGGTCTTATGTAACTTACATAACCAAAGAAGGGGTCTACTCACATATAAATGTTGTACTACTTACTTTATTATTATTTCTTAGCAATCAAGGAAATTTTACATGTTTCTCTGTGTTGTTTTTTAGCTTTTTATGATGCACTAGAATTACAATTTTAATAGGCAAAAAAATACATTATTTTGGGGTTGAATAACTTACCATTATTTTAAGTAGAGTTTAGATGTTGTGAAATAAATAATTTTGGAATACTCCTAAAATTATTGTACTTAATTTATTGAGAAAATAACAAATATTTGATGCTCTGATTTTGTTAGTTTCTTAAATAATTTTAAAGCTGACAAGCAATCTATTAGTTATATTGTGCAGGATTTGTACCTAAAATGTCAGTTGCAATAAATAGGTTTTGGTTTGCCCATTTCTTTTATGAGGAGAAATATAGTAGTCTTCTGAGGTTCTTTCATTTTTTTAGCTGTGTTTTTTTGCTATCTATAAGTAACCTGGAGAAATTCCACCATTTACATGCTCAATTTAAAAAAAAAAAAGTTTAAAAACCCCCCAACATGTAAAGTTAGCTGTCTTCTAGTCTTGGTCACAGGCTACTTGTGGGTATAAGAACATTCTGTATATAATAAAACACCTGTAAAGGACCA